CTATTCGTCTACGTGAGTATTTGAACCCGGGGCCTAACAGCTCAGGGCAAGCCCGTGAACAAAATACTGAAATGCAAATGAGATAAATCTCTATTTACTAATCGTCTACGTAAGTAATAGAAGAATGGCTAACAGCTCAGTGCAATTAAACTAAATAGTAACTTCCAGTGAATGCAAGTAACCCTGGTTCTATTACCCGGGACCAACAGCTCAGGACAAGCCCGTGATTAAAGTAGTGGAGTATGTGTACCATTTGTATGATACTCATGTTATGAAACTCTCTCTCTATGTGGTGGTACATCAACTACGCACACGTCACGCCGAAGACCCGGGTTCGAATCCCCACATGGGTACAATGTGTGAAGCCCATTTCTGGTGTCCCCCGCTGTGATGTTGCTGGAATATTGCTAAAAGCGGCGTAAAACCAAATTCAGTCAGTCAGTCAACTACGCACACAATTACGAATGTTAATGAATGTAATGGTCTGCGATACTTGGGTATGGTTGGGAATATAAGCATTCACTGGATGACCAGTACTTGAACCGGGACTAACAGCTCAGGGCCAGCCCGTGAACAAAATACTGACATCCAGGGAATGCATGTAACACTGACTCTATTCCCGATTCGTCTATGTGAGTACATAAAACACTGACTCTATTCCTGATAAGTATTTGAACCGGGACGAACAGCTCAGGGCCAGCCCGTGAACAAAATTCTGAAATGCAAATATAATCAAATGGGAATCACTTGTATGGAATAAACATGAATCTGAACAGTGTCATTGAGGCAACTGGGAATCAATTGTGTGGAATAAACATGAATCTGAACAGTGTCATTGAGGCAACTGGGAATCAATTGTGTGGAATAAACATGAATCTGAACAGTGTCATTGAGGCAACTGGGAATCAATTGTGTGGAATAAACATGAATCTGAACAGTGTCATTGAGGCAACTGGGAATCAATTGTATGGAATAAACATGAATCTGAACAGTGTCATTGAGGCAACTGGGAATCAATTGTGTGGAATAAACATGAATCTGAACAGTGTCATTAAGGCAACTGGGAATCAATTGTATGGAATAAACATGAATCTGTACCGTGTCATTGAGGCAATTGGGAATCAATTGTGTGGAATAAACATGAATCTGAACAGTGCCATTGAGGCAACTGGGAATCAATTGTATGGAATAAACATGAATCTGAACAGTGTCATTGAGGCAACTGGGAATCAATTGTGTGGAATAAACATGAATCTGAACAGTGTCATTGAGGCAACTGGGAATCAATTGTGTGGAATAAACATGAATCTGAACAGTGTCATTGAGGCAACTGGGAATCAGTTGTAACATGTGTTATATTTGGGATTACACTTTCTTAGTAAAGTACAAATTCTAGTACTTTTTGAGTTGAGCCCCATCCGGGATTCGAACTCACACCCTCAGAGTCAGGCACCCAATCGCCAGCACACAAAGTACCAGCCGCCTAAACTCCAGTCAGCAATCAGTTGTGTGGAATAAACATGAATCTGAACAGTGTCATTGAGGCAATCAGTTGGGAATCATGAATCTGAACAGTGTGTGTGGAATAAACATGAATCTGAACAGTGTCATTGAGGCAACTGGGAATTAGTAATCTGGAATAAACAAGAATCTGTACCGTATCATTAAGGCAACTGGGAATCAATTGTCTGGAATAAACATCAATCAGTACCGTGTCATCAAGGCAGTTAGGAATTATTAATCTCGAATAAACATGAATCTGTACAGTGTCATTAAGGGAGTTGGGAATTAGTAATCTGGAATAAACAAGAATCTGTACCGTATCATTAAGGCAGTTGGGAATCAATTGTCTGGAATAAACATCAATCAGTACCGTGTCATCAAGGCAGTTAGGAATTAGTAATCTCGAATAAACATGAATCTGTACAGTGTCATTAAGGGAGCTGGGAATTAGTAATCTGGAATAAACATGAATCTGTACCGTCTCATTGAAGCAGTTGGGAAATATTAATCTGGAATTAACATGAATCTGTACAGTGTCTATTATTGGTTTGTATTCCGCAGTAGATGGAACAGTGAAACAAATGCACGTGAGGTACGTGATGAGGGTTAACTTATACCAACCCTACTTGTTCTCGGTGTTTCATCTAATGTGCATACCCCCTTGTAAGACAAACCAATAATAGCGATTTGAAACTCTGATCGATTGTCAAACAACTTTTTCCTTAAATTGAATAAAATTCTGAGATTTGAATGTTCAATTGGCAAGGTAAAATTATGAGGATTCGCAATCTTAATTTCACTTTATTCGATTTACTTTTTTGTTTAGAGTGAAATTCATCGGTACGTTTTCACTGCAAACAGACTATAAATTAAAACAGGGAGAATAGAAGACGATGTAGATTATCCTTGATTAAAACGATGAAGTGTGACGCGTGTGGTTATTTTATAGACTTGTAACGCATTTCAGGCCAAGACAAATCTTAAGGAACAAATATTTTATACTCACAAAGGCCTTAAGCGAATTATTTGTATCAGATGTCGTGGGCTGAACGGACATATGAAAATGTCGGTTTCACCAGCTGGTCTGTCGTCTGGCTGCGCAGGGTCCGTGCACGAGCAGTCCGTGGAGCCGGGAGCCGTTGTGGCTCTACGTGAGATCGCGTTATAACGGGTAGCTTGTTTTATGCGGCTTGTTATACCGTGCCTTTCTGCGGTTGAGTGGGTCAGTGGGTGTTATCTTCAGGACAGGTACGCGTTATTCTCGATTTCATTAATGAAGAGTCGGCCTATTGGTAACGCTATTTCTTAAAAGTTGTAAACTCTTCGTTTTTGTTTGAAATATATTCAACTGAATGTTTTACAAACTTTCTTAACAGTACTTTAACGTCCGTTATATTCTGTTACAAATGATGCATTTTTTATTGAGATTCTCAGTATGGAAATCCATCTGCAACTTAGTGTCAATGATTTGCACGTGCAAGTCGCTCCATCCATGGAAAGCGGAGGACAATACACATGCATTGATGTTTTTTCCCTGTCGTTCACTGTTCAGATACGTGTTTGAAATCGCAGCTTAAAATGAGGCCGTTTTTTTTACACTTGCTGAAAGGTTATTATCGAGTTTGACCATTGTATCCCATTTGCGTAGATCGATGCTCATGTTGTTGGTCACTGGATTGTCTTGTCCAGATTTGTTTATTTACAGACTGCCGCCATATACCTGAGTGCGGCGTTAAACAACAAACAAAGCAGATGCATGTCCTGAAAGACGCTGAACCGGATCGGCCGGTTAGGTTCGCTGATACGTAGATAGATAATTCAGGTGAGGTGAGGTGAGGTGAGGTGAGGTGAGGTGAAATTGGGTTTAACGTCGTGCTTGAGAATATTTCGCTAATATGACGACGTGCATGCGTGTGTATGTGTAGATGCGGCTGCGTGTACTAGCCCAGACTGAAGCTGGTTTTATAGTGCTAGCCCACTGAGATACCATGCCGCAGTGAAGCATGAATACCCCACTCAGACACATTATACTGACTCCGAGCCGACCAGTCCTTGTTGTACCCATTAATGCCAAACGCCAGGCAGGGACCAACAAGTACCATAGTTTAACGTCTTTTGGTATGACGCAGTCGGGGTTCGAACCCGCGACCTTCCGCTCTCCGGGCGGACGCTCTAACCACTACACCACGGAGGCGGTCGATAGATAATTCAGGGTTCGAATTCAACCTCAGCAACCGATGCTTGCTTGGCGACTAACGGGATCGGATGGTAAGGATCGCTGATTTGGTTGACACATGACCAAACGCATTCTGTGCGTATGGTCAGTGCGTATGGTATCAATCACTTGATTGTCCAACCCATACTCCATTACTTAAATACAGAAACATTTCACTTAAAACATTTTCTGTCTCACACAAGCCTCCCATTTAAAGTCGTTTTCAAACGATGAAAGCAATGACGCCAACCCAAAACGTGAAGGTTAAAAAGCTTTAGAGCGAATGAGTACATACAAAAATGAAACATACATCTTTATGGATGACAACTTCTTATTTATTGCATAGAGCAACGTTTCGATGTAGATTCTTACATCGTTATCAAGCTAAAAGTGAATACAACCAGATGTAGAGGGGTATATATACACAGTATGTTTTGACAACAGCAGATTAACATTAACAACAACATGTAATTGAATAACAACTGGCACATAATTATGAGAGGCCAGTAGGAGACTAAGAATAACAAATGAGACTGGGAACGAAGCCAATAAACAAGGGGTATAAGTTGTAATAACAAGCTGATTGGATGCTTATATAGTCTATAGTTTGATTAGTTCTTCATAGGCCGATGGTGGTGGTGGTGGTGGAATTGGGTTTAACGTCGTGCTTGAGAATATTTCGCTCATATGACGACGTGCATGCGTGTGTATGTGTAGGTGCGGCTGCTTGTACTAGCCAAGACTTAAGCTGGTTTTATAGTGCTAGCCCACTGTGATACCATGCCGCAGTGAAGCATGAATACCCCACTCAGACACATTATACTGACTCCGAGCCGACCAGTCCTTGATATACCCATTAATGCCGAGCGCCAGGCAGGGACCAACAAGTACCATAGTTTAACGTCTTTTGGTATGACGCGGTCGGGGATCGAACCCGCCACCTTCCGCTCTCCGGGCGGACGCTCTAACCACTACACAACGGAGGCGGTCCATAGGCCGATGGTATGTAGTATCCTTGGTCTCTATTGATCAAAGGTTTGTGGCGGCGGATTTCGATGGCTTCCAAGAGTTTTCTTTTTGTGAACTCCTGATCCTTGGTTGATAGGATTTCAAATTTGTTAAACTTGATTTAATGGGTAGAGAATTTATGTTGGTGATCGGACTGGGCTGATTTACTGTCTGCTTTTGGCTGTTGAGGTTTTATGTTCTTTAATGCGGATATCAACGGGACGGGGGGTTTCACCAATTTAGGAGTCACCACATTCACAATTAATCTTGTAGATCACTCCTTTGGGGGGCTGCTTTTTGGAGGGTAGGTTGCGGCCATTGGCTTGGAGGATGGTCCCGAGGGTAGCACAGCCAGTGGAGATGGTGTCGATGCTGCTTGGTGATTTAGTAGTCTGCTGATTTGATGGGAGGTCTTGCCGATGTAGGGTAGGGTGATTCTGATGGGGGTGGATTCAGGCTTGGTCAGTTTGGGTTTGTCATGGAGGGTGGTGGAGATGGCCCTCATGACTAAGTTGGTGGGATACTTGTTGAGGCTCGTGGAGACATGTTGCAGGTGGTTCAGCTCATGTTCTAGGTCATGGTTGCTGGAGCAAATGTTCTTGGCACGCTTGGTCAGGGTTGAGATGACACCAGACTTTGTTTTTGGGGGGTGGTTTGAGTTGAAATGAATATACTGGTCGGAGTGGGTGGGTTTTCTGTAGACCTTGGTTTGGATCTTCTTGCAGGGGTCTCTGGATACATGGACATCTAGGAAGGGGAGTGCACTGTCTCTCTCTGTCTCCATCGTAAACTTAATTCGAGGATGTTGGGTGTTGAGGTGCTGTAGTAGTGAGGTGGGATCCTGGTCTTTCCTGAGGATGACAAAGGTGTCATCCACCTTCCTATACCAGCAGACAGGTTGGGTGGGGGAGGAGGCCAGGGCTTGCTCTTCAAAATGGGTCATGTAGATTTCTGTGATAATAGGGGACAGAGGGGATCCCATGTGGTGGCCGTGGATCTGTTCGAAAATGCTGTCTCTCCAGGTGAAGTAGGTAGACGTTATACAAGATTTAGTGAGGCTGATGATGGAATTTATGGAGAGGTTGGTGTCAAGGGGTTGGTCCAGACTGGAGATGCGCTGACGGAGGATTTGCAGGGCTCCTTCGGTGGGGACATTTGTGAATAGGTCAAAAACATCCTAGCTACTGATCTGGTCAGGGTCAGTTATGCTGGTTATCTTTTGACAGAAGTCTGTGGAGTCTGATATGTAGGATTTAGCAGTTGTACCAAGAGGGGAGAGTATTTTGGCGAGGTGCTGGGCGGTGTTGTAGAAAACTGTGTCCCTTGAACATACAAGTAGTCTGGCCTTGATAATGTCTTTATGGATCTTGATGGTGGCACGGGCGTAGGGGGGGCTGTGGATGGGAGACAGACAGTTTGTGGTGCTGTTGGGTGGTGATCTCAAAGGTGTCTTTCAGGTGTTTCAGTGTGGACTTGTGTTCACGTTGGAGTGTGCTGGTGGGTTTTCTGTAAGTGGTGGGGTCTGTAAGCATCTTGTTGACCAGGGAGTGGAATTCCGACTTGTCAAGGATGACCGTGGCTCGTCCTTTGTTGGCTGGGACCATGGTTATATCTGTGTCTTCTTTGAGTTCTTTCACGGCTTGTTTCTCAGCTTGGGTGAGGTTAGGTGTCTGTCTGGGGGCTTTTTGAAGAATGTGACTTATGTGATGGCGTAAGTAATCAATCTTGCCTCCTGGGGCAAGTTGCTGGGGGCCTTTCTCTATATTACTGACGAAGTCGTCGTAATGACGCCGTGGTTCGGTGGATATAAAAGTGAGGCCTTTGGCTAGGACATTGATTTGGTTTTTGGTGATAGTCTTGCTGCTGATGTTGATGACTCTTTTCTTGATGAACTGTTCCTGGGTCACACTGGGGTCAGATGTCTTCGGGTTCAATTGTTTCTTCTCCTGGAGTTTATGCAGCTTGTTGAGTTGGCTGGTTTTGGTTTTGGTGTCCAATTTGCTGTTGGCTTGGTTCTGGGCTCTGCGTAGGGTTCTGAAGAGGTCAGGCGACATTGTCGAGTTTAGTTTTTGAAGGTGTTGTTCTATTTGGCCGAAGGTGATGCTTTTCGTTTTACGATGATGCCTGATCCTTTCAATAGCAAGCTTTTTGGATGCAGCCTGGAGGATGGCTTGAGCAGCTGCTGAGTTAACTGGAGAGGTGATTCTCAGACCATTCGGGATGATCTGGAGGTCTCTGCATCGCATGAGGAACGTGAGGCGGTTGCTGGACTGGATGTACTTCTTCTTAAGTCGACTGAGGTTGTTGATAGTGTTGAATGCTACGTCTCCATGTAGACGCCTTACTAATTGTTTGATGGGCATTCTACAAGTTAGAGTACATACAGTTGTATTTATTTATTTGTTTGTTGCCTAAAGCCACACTCAGTAATATTCCTGATGTATGACAGCGGCCTGTCAATTTTCGAGTCAGGAGCACACAATCCAGTGATAGATATTGTCAGCAACGATGCAAGCTATCGTCACCGACCGTGGCAACAAGATTCGTTACGTCCCTACTTACGACAACATAGACTGCTTTGGGGAGTTTAGTTTTACGCCGCTTTTAGCAATATTCCAGCAATATCAAGGCGGTGGACACCAGAAATGGGCTTCACACATTGTACCCATGTGGGGAATCGAACCCGGGTCTTCGGCGTGAAGGGCGAACGCTTTAACACTGGGGATCCAATCACCGATCTTCCCCTCTACGGGCTGCCCGTTCTATCCACTATCCCAAGCAGCCATTTGCACCAAACGGTTCCAGATCATGACAAAATCCGTGTTACATGTTATACGGTTTATTATACAAAGATACATTTCTCTACCGAGCCAATACCATGGCAGTTCCATCCTAGTATTTACCAAGAACCTTTGTTCCAGCTATGGTGAACTGTCCACTTAAAACATTAGAACTCATGGCCTTCTTCTGATTCGGTTGTTGGCCTCCAACGTAGATGTTCATCTTACCTGCAAACAAACACCAACATAAACTGAGGTACAAAAGAAAGTACACACCTGTTTTTGGATTATTTTAAACGTTTGTCGATTGTGATTTATCAGTCTCCGAATAAACATATTTTTACACTATTTGAGAGGCATTCTAGTGAGTGAGTGAGTGAGTTTGGTTTTACGCCGCTTTTAGCAATATTCCAGCAATACCACGGCGGGGAACACCAGAAATGGGCTTAACACATTGTACCCATGTGGGGAATCGAACCCGGGTGTTCGGCATGACGAGCGAACGCCTTAACCACTAGGCTACCCCAACGCCCCTGAGAGGCATTCTAGAAGTTGTAAGCAATAGGAGTGACAAGTTTTTATGGATGATTAACTTCTTTAGTGTACAATAGCGACGTTTCAGTATAGATTCTTATACCGTTTTAAGCATACCACTTGAGACCGCCTCCGTGGTGTAGTTGTTAGAGCGTCCGCCCGGAGAGCGGAAGGTCGCGGGTTCGATCCCCGACCGCGTCATACCAAAAAGACGTTAAAATATGGTACGTGTTGGTCCCTGCCTGGCGCTTGGCATTAATGGGTACAACAAGGACTGGTCGGCTCGGAGTCAGTATAATGTGTCTGAGTGGGGTATTCATGCTTCACTGCGGCATGGTATCTCAGTGGGCTAGCACTATAAAACCAGCTTAAGTCTGGGCTAGTACAAGCAGCCGCACATACACATATACATGCATGCACGTCGTCATATGAGCGAAATATTCCCAAGCACGACGTAAAAACCAATTTCACCTCACCTCACCTCACCTCACCTCACCTCACCTCACTGAACTGAACTTTGAAAAAATGGTAAACTGACGTACAACAGAAAGTACAAACATATAATTGTTTCTAATTTCCAAGAAAAATATTTTGAAAATTATTTTGATTGTGGCTTACAAGTCACAAACGTTGTTTACGTGGTGCTAAAACACCACCTCTGTTTTGTATATGAAATGCATATGTGAGAAATCAGTGTAGTTAATCCTTCTTGTGGTTGGTTGGTTTGTTGTTTTACGCCGCACTCAGCAATATTCCAGCTTATATGGCGGCGGTCTGTAAATAATCGTGTCTGGACCAGACAATCCAGTGATCAACAGCATGAGCATCGATCTACGCAATTGGGATACGATGACATGTGTCAACCAAGTCAGCGAGCCTGACCACCGTATCCCGTTAGTCGCCTTTTACGTCAAGAATGAGTTGCTGAAGACAATTTCTAACCAGGATCTTCACGCGTTTAATTCTTCTTGTGACACGTACCTGGTAGAACCTTCCAGCCAGCCGTGTCATCCCATACAGCCAAGTTCTTGTGACTGATTGTAAACTTGTAGGTTGTATTTTGCCCTTTTCTGACGTACACTCTCCCGAAGGCAACCAGTTTGTACTTCGGCATGTTCAGAGAGCTGTCCGTCCAAGACACATATACCTGGATGATCTGAAAAAAACAACCAACAATTATTTTGTTTAAATCGACAAAAATAGACAATACTTTACAAGTACCCCATTCATGATAGTCAGCAGCACCTTTGATCAACCGACCGCCTTCTTTAGCATTTGTAACACGGTTAGAAATTAATGATCAATATATATTGAAAAGGACATCGGATGTACAATGTGAATCAGGTGAAGAAATAAACGAGTGAATGAGTGTTATATATAGAACAAACTTTATGGATAACAACTTCTTTTTATTCGTGAGTGCGACGTTTCGATACAGATTCTTGTACCGTTGTCAAGCATAATGGAACATGAAGAAGGGGGAAGTGTATATATACTGGATGTAACAACGTAACAAAGAAAACAACATAATTAACATAATTGGCTAGGCAGAAAGCTGATGAAGCCAGAGAGTAGACAAAGGACAGGTGTGGAAGCCAATGATGTACAAATTATGTTAATTATGTTGTTTTCTTTGTTACATTCAGTATATACACTTCCCCCTTCTTCATGTTCCATTATTCTTGACAACGGTACAAGAATCTGTATCGAAACGTCGCACTCACGAATAAAAAAAAGTCGTTATCCACAAAGTTTGTTCTATATTGTACTTCCCAACTTCTAAATATGCCACTCAAAGAACATGTATGAGTGTTTCTTTAAAGTGCATGTAACATTATTGTAGTCATTTCAAAATGTTCTGCAAACAATCGATTTTGAAGGAGCAAGACAATTTAACACTAATCTGTCAATAAACCATAGGGGGCGGTTGGGTAGCCTAGTGGTTAAAACGTTCGCCCGTCACGCCGAAGACCCTGGTTTGATTCCCCATATTTTACAATGTGTGAAGCCCATTTCTGATATCCCCGTCGTGACATGGCTGGAATATTGCTAAAAACGGCGTAAAACCATACTCACCCACTCAATAAATCATAATGATAAATTCCTTTTGAACTTCAACACAAAATCTAAACTAACCTCATCAGCGTTGTAATTTCCGGTATTGCTGACGACGACCTGGCCCTTAACGTCGCTGCCGGCGTTGACGTTGTTGTTGTACTGGAGACCCGAGTAATGCCAGGTGGTGTAAGAAAGCCCGTATCCGAATGGATACAGTGGATCACCCTTGAAGTACCAGTAGGTGCGTCCATCCATCGAGTAGTCAGTCATAGGTGGGACCTGTTGATTGATCGGACCCTTCATTAGTGTGCACTGTTTGTTGAACAACGGCGATGGTTTCTCCGGTTAAGGGGGCGGTGGGGTAGCCTAGTGGTTAAAGCGTTCGCTCCTCACGCCGAAGACCAGGGTTCGATTCCCCGCATGGGTACAATGTGTGAAGCCCATTTCTGGTGTCCCCCGCCGTGATATTGCTGAAATATTGCTAAACGCGGTGTAAACCCAAACTCACTACTCTACACCGGTTAGGAGTTTCATCTCACAAATAAAGACGCATCTTGTACTGGGCGTCGTTGCCCATACACCTTTTATTAAAATTCACTGTCCTTTTTCACAATGGTGGTTTGTCGTTTTGTAATATCAGTGATTTCAACTTGGTATCGTTTCCTTTGCCCGTTAGTCTATTTCCTCTAATTTGAGGGGCGGTGGGGTAGCCTACTGGTTAAAGCGTTGGCTTTGTGTGAAGCCCATTTCTGGTGTCCCCCGCCGTGATGTTGCTGGAATATTGCTAAAAGCAGCGTAAAACCAAACTCAGGCAGTCAGTCAGTCCTCTAATTTGAGCCACCGGAATTGGTTTTCTCACCATGCACTCATGGCAGTTGCTACATACTTGGTACCCGTGCATCTCCTATATAGGACATGATTGAATGGGAGGCGAGGTCAAGGTCAACTGATATAGAGAAGGCGTTATTATTGGCCAACGATTGTTTCTTTACTTGCGATTTATGAATTTGTGATTAGAATTTGATATGGCAAAACTCTTAATCACGACACGGTTTCATAGCCCAAATGAAGAGATATCATTCCAAAAATATCTGTAAATATTTTCTGTGTTTCGAGCGCGTGATAATCGCTATATAAAGGGAACTATTCACTTATATAACTTGATACACATGAGTGCAACGAAAGTCATAAGGCCGCATCTTGGATTAGAACGCATTTTTCAAGATCTGCATAAATACGATTCGTAAGGTTCGTATATATCCCCGGCAGATCCACTGTACTGTTCCAACGAAACCCCATGAATCACCTTTGGCTAGAATATTCGCAAATATGTTAGCGAAGTCAGGTCTATAAAGAAAGTCGAAACAAAAAACTGGCATCACTGAACTTGGGCGTTTTCAGAGATTGCTGAACTTAAGGTTGGGGGTGAGGTGAATCGGGGTTTAATGTCGTACTTGGGAATATTTAGCTCATATGACGACGTGGATGCGTGTGTATGTGTGCCTGCTTGTACTAGCCCAGACTTAAGCTGGTTTTATAGTGCTAGCCCACAGAGATACCATGCCGCAGTGAAGCAGGAATACCCTACTCAGACACATTATACTGACTCCGAACCGACCAGTCCTTGTTGTACCCATTAATGCTGAGCGCCAGGCAGTGACCAACAAGTACCATATTTTAACGTCATTTGGTATGACGCGGCCGGGGATCAAACCCACGACATTCCGCTCTCCGGGCGGACGCTCTAACCACTACACCACGGAGGAGGTCTACTGAACTTTAAGCAAATGCGTTAATTCAACATATCTTAATACTTTCTGTGAGTATAAAGGAAGTCCTGTGTGTACGGATTTCTATGGGGCTCTGGAACCCGATAAAAGAGAGCAAGATTTTGGAGTCAAAAGCGCGAGAGGGTGGTTAAACCCAGTGGTTAGAGCGTTTGCCCGTCACGCCGAAGGCCCCTGGTTCGCTTCCCCACATGGGTACAATCT